CTCCTATGCATTGGTATTAAGTGAATTGCAACAGACTGGAATTGGATAGGTCAGAAAATCATGTTTGCTACTCAGGTTATGAAAAACAAGGAAGGAACAATGTTAATTTCATAGTCATAATTCCAACTTCATCCTGAATAAACTTCACTAAATCATACATTTTTTTCAAAGTGTACTGAGCTGGTATTATATATGTTAACTACTGCAAAGCTTTTATGTTTATTGGAAAAGATCTTTGATCCTGTCTATGAAAAAATGGCTAACCGAATTATGGGAATAAGCTTCAATGTCTAGAATTACTTCATATTTCAAAAGTAAGTTTGATATATAATACAGTATTATTGGAATTAAATTTTAAGTTACAATTACAATTGTATACATGGCATTGAGCTAAAATTTGAATTTTAGAGTTTATATATTATATAAACTAACCTACACATAATCTGCAGTATTCAATGTATTATTATCCATAGTTTTTTTCCTTATAATTATTATTATTCTAACTAAATATTTTTAAAGTTCAACAAATACATGATTTATTTAGAAATTGGTTATATCTTACAGGAACTTCAAACTTTTAATGGTATAATTAGAATATATTGGCAGTATATTTTAGATTTGTGGCTTATCTCAGATTTTTTGGCAATTCATTAAGTCTTTATATACCATTTGTTATTCTTTTAAATTTTTCTTGCCTTAATATCCTTATTCCACTTCATTTGAAAATTATAATACCTAGCTTGTAAATGCAAATAAAATGATTATATGTATAAGGAGGTCTGCAAAAGAATCTCGTTTTTCAACACTGTCTTTCTCATGTTTAGAAAACTGATTCTGTGACAAAGGTTTGTTTCATAAGTGATTCCCCCCTCATGTATTAATCTGACTGGATTGCATTCGACTGATCTCTATTTCAATTGTAATAGTTGTGGTCTGTGTGATCCCCTTTAGAAAACACCACTAGGGGGCAATAAAGCCATATATCTTTTCTACAAGGGTCAGAAAATACAATAGAGTAGTCAAATTTGTGGTAAAATGAACTAATTAATATGCACAATGCCTAGCAAGGCATGAGGTCATTTGGTGTAATCTTTGTAGAACTGACATGCTTAATTGGCTCGCTAAGGAGTCACATTCCTTTCTGAGTAAGACATAATCAAGATGACTCAGTTGAGCTCAGCTAGTTTTATCTGATTAAAAGTAGGTTAAATGGAAGAATAAAATTGAAATCAAGTACAAAATTAAATGGAGTGAAAGACCCTGCAAATCTAACGGGTGAGAGTATTAAGCCCTATCATAAAATTGGCCTAATACAGAGTGAGAATGTTACTCTATCTCTGGACTATCTTAACAGATACAGATCCATTTCCTGAAGTCATTTAGTTCAGTGTTTGTCAACCTTGACATTTGAAAAGGAGTGGACTTCAACATCCAGAATTCCCTAGCCAGCATGCACTGGCTAGGAAATTCTGGGAGTTGAAGTCCACCCCTTTTCAAATGGCCAAGGTTGAGAAACAGTAATTTAGCTATCTTCCATCTACAAAGAATATTTTCTGTTAAAGAGTTAATTCATAAAAATTAAGACATTTGACCAAACTGTAGATGGTGGTGGTGAAGGAAAAATCTCTGTAGCTCACAACCCATATTAATGGCAGAAAAACTGTCTCCTCAAATAGTTTTCATGCATTCTCCATAAAATGCCTCTGTGAATTAAGGACTGAGATCATTGTCATCCATATTATAGGGGACTGAGTTGTTTTGATATTTGTTTTTTCATGTCCTTTAATGAGGAACTACATGTGTAAATCAATGTATCAACATAACTCTTACATATCTTACAACAGAAACGAATACTTGTAGTTAGGATCCAGGTAATTTTAAATCAGTTCTGAAGGCCACAAGAACACAGTAGTGAAGTTACTCCAAAAGGCATACATTTTTAGCTGATTTTTCCCCTTGTTTTTTTTCCCGTTAGAGGATATTTGGTAACATTTTAAGCAAAAAAAGGGGTGTTAAAACTCTATAGTAGCTTAATATGTCCTACAGCAGGCATGTCAAACTGCTGGCCCGTGGGCAATGGGGGACAATCCCGATATGTCGCGTGACGTTGCGGATTGACATGCCTGTTCTACAGCTTACTTTTACCAAAAGATGTAGAGAAAGGCACCATCAAAGATAAATATTTTTCTACTGAATATTAGCTTATGCTGTCAGGTATCCCTTTCCTACAAGAGTATTAAGTATAACGAAAATGTGGCTGTATCAGGGAAAAAAATCTTTACATTTGCATTTAATAACCCATTCTGTCCAACTCAAAGCCAAACATAAGATGGAATAAATGTGCAAATACTAAAGTTGTTCTTATTTATTTTAACAAATACTAAAGCAAAAACAAAATGGAACATATGAAAAACTGACAGTTTCTTAATTCTTAACAGTAATTAGCACAATAGCTTAACTAATGTAAATTAATAGTAATGATTTGGTAGTTTTGATATTATAAATATAGCTCATCTGGTTTCTCAGGATGTAGCAGAATACAATGCTCATAGTACAGTATTGTTAGTTCCTATCCAACTAGAACATTTATATATCAACAGCATTAAAAAAAATCATGATTACTATACATACAGTAACTACACATTTAAGAAAACTTAGTATTAAACTATAATACTCATTAAACAGGTTGAAGTTACTTTATAAACACTTTTCAGTTAGCAAAACACTACAAAATAAAAATGAAGATTTGTGCAAAGCCTCAAATTGATGCTTCACTTTGATGACCTTCAGTAATGGCTCCCTTTGATGTAGCTTCATAATGCAATCCAACTCCTAGATGCCAATTCTGATAGGCTACTTTGCCTATACAGAAATTATTTCCATCAATGTGAAGTGGCCTATTTCCATTCTTTGTGGGGGGCCCAAAGTTAAGCCGCTAGCTTTTCCTTTGATACAGTATATGGTGGTATCATTGCTTCAGTGACCAGTCAAGTCATGCAAAATCACTCCTAAAAAACGAAACTACACAAAGAAGCCTAACACTGTTGTAATCCATCTATAGTTGTTCATTTCTTATTTTGAAAGTTGCTTCACTATTTCGTATCTTGCCTTTTTAGACACATTTTTTTTACAAAAAAAATACCAATAAAACCACAACACAGTTTAAAAACAAAAACATATATAATCCAAGATTCCTTCCTCCTGGAAAGATGATGTCTGAGATGAATTTTGCTAATCTATGAGCTTTTTCTTAAAAAGGCTCAAATTTTGAAGTTTCCAACTCAGTCAGCATTATTCATACCGCACATTTTGCTAATTTCAAGTCAACTTATGTGAGAGTTCCATAATGTTTAATTAAATTGGGACTTACTTGATAGCATTTGCATGATTCTCCACAATTGATTAGCTGACTCTTTTTCAAAGTAATATCTTATTCCAGAAATAATTGAACTATAGAGAATCTACTGATATTATAAATGTCATTACTTTTAAGTCTAAATACATTAATGCTACATTTACCTGCAAAATAATTTAGTAGTATTTGGACTATACACGAAATCAGGGAAATTGAATCAGTTGTAATCAATTGGTTGATTGAAACTATAACCCTATGCATATTTTCACATGGCCAAGATTAGACTATAAATTTCTGGATCAAGATCCTAACCATCTCTCAACAAAATCAGAAATGATATTCAGCTATCTGTTCTCTTTAGGCAATGAGTGTAATGATAAAAAAATCAAAAGGAGGCTGTAGGCCAGGGGTGTCAAACTCAATTTCGTGAGGGCCGCATCAGCACTGTGGCGCCCTCAGGGGAGCCAGGTGGGCGTAGCCCGTTGGGTGGGCGTGACTGCAGTGGTCACAGCAGACTGGGTGGGCATGGCCAGGGTGGGCATGGCCACTTCGATGTTGCTTGTGGGGGGATGCCTGTAGGGGTCGGGCAGAGTTGGGGGAGATCCAGGTGGGGTGGTGGGCAGGAGGCTCATCCTGCGGGGTGAGGCGAGGCGAGGCAGGGGCTGGGGGGTGCCATTGCTGCAGGGCAAGGCAAGGCGAGGCAGGGGCCAAGGCGGCGGCTGCCTGACACCATTGGCCCCCACACACAGAGGCCAGCGAGCACATGAGGACCGATGGTGTCAGCAGCCACAGCCTGCCGGCCCCTCGACTGGTGCACTCTGAGGCTCCACAGCCTGCTGCGAATACCGGGCCAATCCTCCAGCAGCAGGCAGAGTAGGGGAGGGGGGAAGCGCATGATGCAGACTGCCGGACGCGCCTACTCCTTCTCATCTGTTTTTGCTTGAAATTTGAGAGGAGGTCACTGCTGGTCATCTCCTCGGCCCCCTTGCAGATCTTGTCCTTGGCCCATGTGTGGAGCCTGTTCCCCTCGCGTACCCGACGCATCTTGGCCCCACCTCAGCCTGGCGCCGCTAGAAGCTCACACAGGTCGATTAGGTCCATCTTTGCTGGGCCTGGGCAATCATGACGCCGATGGGGATCTGGCTTTCACCACTCAGGGTGACCTTCTGCCTGCTGGCCCTGCCGACCACTTTGCCTCCTGCAGCTCTGGGTGGCAGCCTAATGGACCTGAGCGAGTGGCTGGCAGGGGGCTGAAGAGAGGACCAGTGGCAACCTGCTCTCCAACCAAATAGAGATGGGATGGAGTAGGCATGCCGGCAGTCCGCATCAGGTGCCCCCTCGATTCAGAGTGCTGCTGGTGCCGCCGCAGCACTGCTGCTGGAGGGCTGGCCTAGTATTCATAGCGGGCTACGCAGCCCGTCGGATGCCGTTGGCTCCCATGTGCTCACCGCCTCCTGTGCATGCACCTTGGGGTCTGCCGGGCTAGCTGGGGCCGGGGCCAGGGCAGCGGGGGCCAGTCCTGCGCCATTTCCAAGAATCCTTGGGGGTCAAATATCAGCAAATTGTGGGCCAGATCCGGCCCACGGGCCTTGTGTTTCACATGTCAGCTGTAGGCTATTCAGTTTTTTTCTTTTTCTCCCTTTCAAACTACAGAATTATTAAGATTCTGAAATTACTACTTGAGAATATATTCTGTATTTACATGGGAAAAGCAATTCAGTCACACACCAAAACATTATGCCACTAATATACTAACATATTGGTCCAAACTGCTATATCTCTCCATGTACTTTTGGCCTGGATCTACCAAAGATAACCATCTTCTTGCTGTTCACATAAGCTTTTATTGCTCCAGACATAAAAGTAGTAGGATACGTTCATAGTTTTCTAATCAACCTAGGTTAACAATATGGGTATAAAAGCTCACTATGTTCCCAATGTGTTCTAGTTCATTCAACTTGTCCCAATTCCAAATTTAAAAACACACTTTAAATTACGTTTACATTTTCATTAACTGCACACAATTATTCAAACAATTTATGTAAACATTTAGCTGTCTCAGAAATTCTGTTATAATTCATGTTGTGCGGTAGAATTTATATTTTGTATTTAAATTCTTTACATATCTTGAGCTAGCATGCAGTGTATGCAATATATTGGTAGGAAAACATTTTATTTAATTAGCAGATTTCTGCTCTGTGCTGTCCCCAATGTATTTCAGCCACATTCGCTAATCAGAAGTGCCCCTTTTCCCTTTCCAACTCCTCTCTCTTTGCTCAAGTTCAGATTCAGTGAAGGCCGCCGGTCCCCAATTAGTGATCAAATAGGAATTCTTGGAACCTATAAGACACAATATTTTACATTTAGTAATTTAAACCTAATTTACTACACGTGTCAAAATCTTCTTCTAACTTTGCTTTATGATTAGTCATGTGAGAATGTAGTTGGGAAAAGTATATTAAAAATGCACCCAATCAAAAGCATTTAAATAAAAAACATTTTTAAATGCTTTCATCCTCATGTATACCAAGATGGTTTGAAATAAACATAAATAAAATAATATAAAATAAACCAAAGAATATTAATAAAATGGTTCAACCCAACATGAATTTTCAATTTAATAAATTTTGATTTGTACCAAAAATACCATCATGCCACTGCCAGTTTTATTGCTAGGGTGAAGAATATTCTAAAATGAATGCACCATCAAAAGATGTCCATCTATCTTGACTCCTTTCTCTCCTTTACTGTATAATGCATTTTCCTCAATAAATTTTAACCGAGATGACCTCTTTCTAAAGTTCCTGAGCAGAAGTAGGGACAGAAAAGCCTTCATATTTGAAGTTCTATATCATTTAGGGCTCTGCAGGCAAAACTAACAGCTTCAATTAGACATGAAATATGTCGCGTTCAAAGTCTGGCTATGTCAGTTAAATCTTGATGGTGTTACCTGCATCAAGTGAGGATTCCAAGAAACCTTCAAGGAAACACCCACATATAAATCATTACAATAGTCTAATTAAATAGTTTTTAAAATGTTGCTTCTGTAGCTAGACTATCTTGCTCAGGAAGAATTATTGTTGAGCCATTGGTAAAGTTAGGTTGTTGGTACTACTGATGCCACTTGGGGCTCCATCCATCATGCTGGGTGCAAAAATACATATAAGTGACATATCTAAATTGATTGCTCAGCTATCTTCTGGCTATAAAAATTATCTTATTCAAAGATTGCACACCATTTTACGTTATGACAAATCACTGTCAATCCAATGTTTTTGTCCTGTCCATTTTCAATTTCATATTGTGATCTACATTACAGAAAATATTTATTCCCAGCACCTTGACTTAAATGTAAAGCAACCTACTAAAACGTTTAGTAGTGCTGACATATCAAAGCTGCTCTCAAGAGCATTTCAATATCTTTTCTGATAAATTTATACTTATAGACAATAATGTTTATATTGCACTTTAATGCCATTACAATAACATAATTCATTTGACTGAAAATTTCCTGTTGAACTAAGAGCTTATACTCTTTGTACAGCAGATTAACTCACGGGTTGATTAATACACATTTGCTTGGTTGAATTCCATTAAAAATCTTTCAAGAAATATCCTTCAGAAGTTCAGCTCCCATAAAGGGGAAAGCAAATAAACCTAGTTACATACATTATTCTATCCTGGATGCAACATAAATCTCATATAGAGCACTTATAATTGGACAGTTATAAATATAAAAGCAGAACAATCAAAATAATGTAAACGTTGTAAATACTGTAAGCCTCAAGAGCAAAGGCCAACAGAGTTTTATGTCATGATGAGGCTAATGAGAAATTTGACTTGAAGACATCTAAAAATCTCAGCTGGCAGTGTTTGCACTGATTTCCTTTCTTCTATTCGGAATTTGGTTCAGCTATGTTTCTCCAGACAATAGCACACACTAAACAGGAAATGCAGCCTAGGCTGACTCAGTAATATTCAGACTTCTTGGAAATCATAATGGGTTACTTAAGATAAAAATAGCTACATGAATGCTGATTCACAAAACAAAGGATTGTTTCCTACCTGGTTCAATTAATCGAATTAATCCCTCATGATGAGCTACTCTATCTTTCCAACTTTTAGTTTTGCTTGCTGCTACTTCCAATTTCTTCTTTACCTCCTAAAACAGAATTAACATCAACATGATATAGAAACATATATTTTTTTTACAATAGAGACTGTCAAAACAGCACAACAAGAACATCTCTCCACAAGATCACAAAAGGATGGGCTTTAACTGGATGTGAACAGGGATCAGCCTAGGTCAGCACATGAAGGAGCACACAATTGCAAACATTTGTAAATAATATATTCACAGTGCCCATAAAAGCCAATCTTAGCGACTGCTAAGCTTCCCATAAGTTACTGGGACATAACTATATATCCCTATAGGCATGATTTCTTAGCTACAATAACTTTTCCAAGTTTCATCAACTTCTTAAATCTTTACCTGATATGGCTTTTAGTCACAATTATATTTGATCCATCTCTACTCATTTTACTATTGAACCAAACTGGTACAATATTTTATCCTGGTAATTCTCTATAGATAAAAATTTCAGTTAATGTCTAATATTATGTCTGCATATACTGTATAAACATAAATGCCCAATAAGAAAATGATTCAATTCTGTGAAGTGGTCAGAGCCACTACAGTCTGGTATCTTAAAGAAGGTATAAATCAAATGACTTAGGTAGCCCTGTTACCAACACTTGAACACATTTAGGTGACTGCTGACAAGCTGTTGTGCACACCTGCTTATGGGGAGATGACTTGGGAAAGCTTTACAGAGTCCCCACTGAGCCTTCTGATGAATGCAACTGCCTTGACCCTTATTATTAACATATTTTGCAAAGTGTCCCTTCATATACTTCGTATAATCCTAGGAAGGCTACACTCGCTCACCTCATATTGTTCAAAGGCTTGCTTCCTCTCTAATTCCAGTTCTTCCAACTGCTCCATGGCGATCTGTAGAGCATGTTCCTTCATTTTTCTCTGGTTTTCCAACTCTTGCTTTTCTGCCTCAGTCACCTGAATGGCTTGTTGCTGCTCTAAGTGCCACTTTTCCAACTCTGCTCTCTTGCTTGTCTCTTCTTCTAGCAGTCTAGTAGCCAAGAAGACATATTAATTCAGGACTGACACAACATGTATGCCTTTCCCGCATGGACTAATTAGTCAAGAAAACATATGACCTAAAACAGTTCCACGGAAATTGCTCGGTTTTGCACTTCTAGTCCATCAAGCAATCACATTCAGAAATGAAAGCATCCCACACACAAGGTAGGTAGTTTCCTTTTTCATTACCTCATTTAGCATCTACAAGTAGTCCTTGACTTATAACTACAGCTTGAGACCAGAATTTTGGTTGCTAAACAATGTGGTCATAAACCAAGCCATTATGTGACTGGACCCAATTTAATGAGGTTTACCATGGTCATTAAGCAAATCATGTGGTTAATTGAATCATATGGTGGTTAACTGAATTCAGCTTCCCCAATTGACTTTATTTGTCAGACGTTAGCTGGGAAGCTCATAAATCATGATTGTGACCATATGATTCCGCAACTGTCATAAATGCAAGTTAGTTGCCAAGCATCTAAATTATGATCACATGACCATGGAGGAAGTAAGATGGTCATAGCTTCAAGGACAGAGGTAAGTCCTTTTCCAAGGCTCTGGTAACTTTGAACTAACATTAAACAAAGAGTCGTAAGTCAAGGACTACCAATAGTTCAGTTAAATACACTTCATCCATTTGCTTCAACTTATTTATTGATCTACAAACAACTCCACATGACATATTTTGTTTACTTGTCTGTGGTACTATAATATGCTGAGAAGCAGAAAGAGGGAAACAATCCTTCAGAATGATTCAAGGACAGAGGACACCTTTTAAACGTAAGAACGGTATTTAGGTTACTTGGGCAGTCTGCAGTTTCTATGTCTCTGCCATTGTTCCTTCTGGAACATAATTGACTGCCAGCCTTAGCATCCAATTCTATCAAATTACACACTGACCTGGCCTGAAGTCTCCTGACAGTTTCCTCATCTTGGCGGGCTTGTTTCTCATCCTCCAAAGCTTCCTGTAGCTGCTTATACATTTCCTCAAGTTCTTTGACTCTCAGTAAGTACTGCTCAAGCTCAGATGATTTCTGAGCAACCTGTTCTTCCATTTTCTGTCTTACCTAGAAAACAAGAATTCTTCATTATCCTTCAGGACAAGCAGTGCTTCCTATTTCTTATGAGACAGAAGAAGAAAGTGTGTGGCTTTTCCTTTTTGTCCAAACATGCACACAGTGCAATTATATCATTAAAGAAACTGCTTCAGAGTTTGCCCATTCTTTTGCTGACATGTACCATTTTCTCTCTCTCCAGTTCAAGACTGAATCGATCTTGTAATTCCATTTGAGTCTGCAGACGTTTTGTCTCTTCTTCTGACGCTCGAGCGGCTGCCTCTTCTAGTTGCTGGGCCAAAGAAAGAAAACAATTAGCATCTGTTTCCAGTTAATGTACATATGGAAGTACAGATAAACCATCAGTATGTACCTATAAACCTAGTTCTTATATTTTTTTATAAAAGCAAAAATTTTATCAACGGGAAATATATATAAAGAAAAGAATGATTTGCATCAAGAAGGGAGTAAAGTAAGGAAGGACCTCCAAGTCTCCACTGAGGCTTCATGTAAAACATTCTGAAAAGATGTTTTATCAGCTCTAAAATGGTGCATAAACAATAAAACGTTGGTGAAAGATTAAACTCTACATAGGTTTCTGTAGAACTGGAGATAAGATAAGCATTTCCAAAAATAGCACAGTCATTGCTCAAAACATGCAAAAACTATTCCTTCTAATCTAGATCAAACTTACTCTGTCAAAATAAGTAAACTATAGTATTTTGTTGCACGAGAAGTATGAGAAATTTGGGAAGTGAATTTTTCTAATAAAGTAATCCTCACATATTTTGAGGCATGCTTAATTAGAGGTTTCTGAATGGTTTGGTTAAACAAAAATAAGGAAGTAGTATAAAGGAGTACTTGTGCAACATTTAATGCTTACAGTAGCACTATTATTGGTTCCTAATTTATTTATTTATTTATTTATTTATTATTTGAATTTATACCCCGCCCTTCTCCTTGCGGACTCAGGGCGGCTGACAGCCTGATAAAAACAACTACAACAATACCCCAAAAACTATCATTAAAAAATTCTCTCAATCTGCCGTTAGGAAAGCACATTTCAATGACTCAGGTAATTTGGCTTGCCTGAACTGGCATTTCTATCAATCATTAAACTTTAGGTTTAAATTAACACACTGATTCAACAAACTTGACTTCATTCTTGCTATGAGGCCTTGGGCCAATCAGTCCCTCTCAGTCCTAATCAATGTCAGGTTCTACGGTGAGCTACCTGAAGAACAACTTCCTCATGACATCGTACATTGACAGCTTTACTGTATGAACTAAGTGAGCCTGGCAAAAAATCAGAAAACCCTACTACCCAGAATGACAAATTTTAATAACATCATCAACCAAGAATAAGAAGAACTAAGAAGAACAATGACTTCTACAGTCCCCTCAAATCCATGACCTCAGAAATACAATTTACAGCTAAAGTATTAATCCTACAATGCAGAATGTTATAAAAACTCAAATTTACCTTTCGGACGGTTTCCAGTTCCTTCTGTTTATTCTCATTTGCTATCTGGAGCTCTTTCATTTGCCTCTCCAGTTCTGCTTGTTCCGCCTGTAGTTTTTGGCGTAATTCTTTCCGTTTCTGGCGTGCCTCTTTATGAGGTGAAGGGCTTTTCAATTTGAGCAGATTTACCGTTGTCTGAATGGCTAAATAATGAGAATAGCCACAATAATATTTCTAATTTAAGCCCATACTTTTTCAGTCTTCAGTGCTGTTCAGTTTCTAACATTAGAGCTTCATCAGTAATTTTAAAAATAAAATCACATTTGTTTGCCAAAAAAACCCCATAGCGTATCAATATCAATAGTGTAATAGAGATATATAATTATAGTTGTGAAATATCAGAATGAAAACAGTTTAATATCAAATACAATTTGTACTTTGCAATAATGTCAGCTCTCCATACAATGAAATACATTTTGTCACCAAAATCACTGAATTGGGGGGGGTGTTATTTAGTCTGTGGTAAAACTAGTGAGATGTACAGTCAGATATGTAATACAGAGCAAAAACATTTGGCCAGAAGAGAGAAACTGAAATAATTAAAGAATTATTTAACTCAGAATAACAAAGTTGGAAGGAACCTTGGAGGTCTTCTAGTCCAACCATCTGCTTAGGCAGGAGACCCTAAACCATTTCAGACAAATGGTTGTCCATTCTCTTCATTGGCCTGAAGTTTAATAAGATATCTAAAGTCTTATTAACAGTCAGATTTACAAGTGACTTCACAACAGGCATGTGAACAGGAAGCTCCATTAAGCAGTGAATAGAAAAACAGAATTTACAAGCTACCCAGCTGGCTTCTATCAAGCAAAGCAGTAAAAGTTTACCTTGAATCCACTCCTGTTTCTTCTTCTTATCAGAGGCACTAATCTCAAAACATTTTTCTAAATTTTTTATAAGAAAGAGACATTTTTTGCCATCTTTGTCAGGCAAGCCCTAATAAAGAGAAAATTAGATTTAGTTTCCTATGAAGCATAGCAAATATGACATTACACTGATATTCACAATATTGTTTGTTAGTTCAGAGCCTCTAAGCATATGAAACATTCCAAATGATATGTATTTCATAAACTAAGAAAGAATCCTGAATGGAACATTTCAAAAAATAAAGATTTCTTTCCTCTTTTCATGAATGCTGTTGTTAGCACTCCATTGTATTCTCCATCCAAATAAATATTCCAGAATTTATCTAGCAGGTGAATAAAAAATCTGTAAGTTAAATTATTTTCATATTCATCATCTAAAAAAGTATTATTTTCCAATCATTTCTTTATTTTTACCTCTACAGTACAGTTGCCATCCAGTGCAATGTCTCCTCTTTTGTCTTTTAAATCTTCACTAACATAGTATGATATAACATTTGGTTTTAAAACAAACCAACGTTCTGTCCAGTTTTTCCTTTTGTGACCCTTCTTCCACATATAACCCTATAAAAACAATGAAGTAATTACTTTATTACATTATTTTAACTTGGAACGTTTAAATTCTGATCCCAGATCCAGATACAATTAATAAATGCCAATTTATTTCAACAGATATTAATCAAACTTTTCAATCCAATCACTGTAGGCATTTAAACATCATTTTTAACAAGCACAGTTTATGAAAAACCATCAGAGTAATTCAACTTTTTATCTTCAGTGAGAAAAAACGTAAATCCTTAGACAAAAAAAATAAATCACCCCCCCTAATAGTTATTGAATGGACAGGAAGTCCTCTCTGCCAGTAAGCACAGCTGACATTCAACCTCTATTTCTACCCATGAAAAAAATTGTTAGCTTAAAAATTCTACTGCTAGCAGCTGAAAAGCAATAGGTTCTACAATATATTATTCTGGTTACCCGACCAGATGTGAATTCACTGACTCTAAAGCTTTTTTGACCAGTTGATTGGGTCCTTCTATTATATCTTTTAGGCCAGTGATGGCGAACTTTTTAGAGACCGAGTGCCCAAACTGCAACCCAAACCCCTTATTTATTGCCGGGTGCCAGGTGGGCGTGGCCCACTGGCTGGGTGTGACTATGATGGTAATGGCAGACTGTGTGGGTGTGGCCAAGGTGGGTGTGCTCACTTCGATGTTGCTCGTGGGGGGGATGCCTGTGGGGAACAGGCAGGGTTGGGGGAGAGCCAGGGGGTCTCTGGGAGGTGGGACGATAGGCGAGGTGAGGTGAGGCGAGGCAAGGCGAGGCAGGGCGGGGTGGGGGTACCATTGTCGCAGGGAAAGGTGAGGCAGGGGCCAGGGCAGCTGCTGCCTGACACCGTTGGCCCCCACAGATAGGCCAGCGAGCACATGGGGGCCGACAGTGTCCGGCAGCAGCCACAGCCTGCCAGCCCCTCAACTGGCGCACTCTGGGTCTGCACAGCCCACCGCCAGCAGTTCAGAGAAGCCGCCTCTAAGCTGGACGGCTGGCTGACAGCTGAGGAGGCGATGCAGTGGGTCGTGCCCAGGCAAAGGAGAGCATGCGAGTTCAGGAGGGATGGGATGGGGGGAGGGAAACCAGCTGTGCTGGGATGCATCCGGCCACATGGGACCTCGGCGAGTTAGAGGGCGGTTGGTTGAAGAGGGACAGTTGCCATCTCCGGGGTATGCCGTGCATGCCCACAGAGAGGGCTCTGAGTGCCGCCTCTGGCACGCGTGCCATAGGTTCGCCACCACTGTTTTAGGCCATGGTTTTCCCAGTTGCAATGAATGGCTGTGAAAGTTGGACCATAAGAAAGGCTGAATGCCAAAGAATTGAGGTCTTTGAACTATGGTGCTGGAGAAGACTCCTGCGAGTCCCCTGGACTGCAAGGCGATCAAACTGGTCAGTCCTAGAGGAGATCAACCCTGACTGCTCTTTAGAAGGCCAGATCCTGAAGTTGAAACTCAAATATTTTGGCCACCTAATGAGAAGGAAGGACTCACTGGAGAAGACTCTAATGCTGGGAAAGATTGAGGGCAATAGAAGAAGGGGATGACAGAGAATGAGGTGGCTGGATGGAGTCACTGAAGCAGTAGGCGTGAGCTTAAATGGACTCCAGAAGATGATAGAGGACAGGAAGGCCTGGAAGAACGTTGTCCATGGGGTCGCAATGGGTTGGACACGACTTCGCAACTAACAACAACAACAAATTATATCTTTTAAACCCTGCCTCCCAACTTCAGTCCAACTGAAAAACCATCCCAGTTTCCAAGTCTAAAGTGGTAAACAGCAAAATGTTGAAGATGGAAAAGGATTCATTAGTTCATTCTTCCATCAAATTCTACTTACGGATTAGAAAATAAGGAAGATAATTATTAATTTCGATCTGAAAACTACAAAGTAGCAAAAATTAAATTAACAAGCCCTATATAATGTAGGAACATTAGTACAAGACCTGTACAATGTTTATGTTTTGAAAAAGTGGGAATAACCATGTCTCAAATCAGAATAGCTGTCAGGAAATTCATAGAGGAAGAAGCATATAACAAGGCTCCCAGCTACAACTTCAAACAATTGAGAATCACCATAGAATCTCGCTAAATGTTATGGAAACAACACTTTTGCATAAATCTGTCTCCTTATGCCCCACCCCTAGGGTGGCAAACATAGGCAAAATCATAACATGAATGTTTTATCTATGTGGGTGGAATATAAAATCCTGTATGGTGAACTATAAATTTTCTTAAGCAATTCCTTAATTGATCCACTTGCATCTGATTCTAAGACACAGAAGATCAAGTCCAGTACAGATATATGCATCCTTCCATTCTCTACTGGAAGTTTACTTACAATGTAAACAATATTTAATATCTAAAATATATATTTAAAGTGATTACATGATGTAAACAAAACTGTGGTCTTTGAAGAGCACAAATTATCTTCATCATCTATCATTCAGTATCAAATGACTGTTGTACATTTTAAAAGATAAGAGCACATACCTGTTAGAAATCATCCACTTTGTAAGCTATTTAAATGGTGTGAAACAGAGAGAGAAATTCACATTTAAAGATAGATCATCCTATTATTTAAAACAAAATAATTTACTAGATACTAAAGACTCTGAAAATCCTATGAATTAGCCCTTGAATCTTTGCTGTTTAGCAATTTTATTAACATACAGTGCACTGAGAAAGTATTCAGACCCCTTTCACTTTTGTCAATTTTGTTCAGCTGCAGCCTGATTCAAGTTGTTGAAATTCATTTTTTTCTCATTAATCTACACTCCGTACCCCACAATGACAAAGTGAAAACAGAATTTTAGAATTTTTTTCTAAAATTCTGTTTTCACTTTGTCATTTTGGGGTACTGAATGTAGATTAAGGAGAAATAAAATGAATTTTACCAACTGTAGAATCAGGCTGTAGCATAACAAAATTGACAGAAGTGAAGGGGGTCTGAATACTTTCTGAATGCGCTGTAAATACCCACCAGGTTTTTTTTTTCTTTCTTAAAATGTGTAATATGAAAGAGAACTCACATTAGAAATACAAATTTGGAAATGGCTACCTAAGCATCAAATCCAAAATCCTAATTATAAAGGAATCCAAATTCAAGCATCCCAGAAAAATGGCCATCCAGCCTCCACTTGAACTGATTCGGTAAAAGGGAGACCCACCATCTCCCTGGATAATCGGTTCCACTGTTAAACACTTCTTAAGAGAGTTTTTCCTTCCCTAACATTCAAACAGAATCTGCCTTCCAGTAACTTAAATTCATTTTTTCATGTCCTACATTCTGGAATAGATATTTTCTATATCAGGGGTCCTCAACCCCCGGTCCGTGGACCGGTACTGGGCCGCAGCATGCCAGCAACCGGTTCACACAAACAAGCAAAGCCCCATCTGCGGGTTGCAGGCAGCACATAAACCCACGCACTCTCTGGTCCGCGGAAAAACTTTTCTCCACAGAACCGGTCCTGGTGCCCAAAAGTTGGGGACCTCTGTTCTATATGACATTCTTCAGATATCCAAAGAAAGACAGCTAAACATTACCAGAACTTTCAATCACTATTTATAGGTTACAGTTTTTAATCCCCTGATCATCTTTATTGTGCTTCTCTAAATAGATGCCAGTTTTTTTCAAATTCAAATGTGGTGCTCAGAACTGGATACAATACCCAAAATGCGATATAAATAGAATAGGGCGTAAATATTACTTCCTGAATTTTGAAATGATGCTTCTACTGATGCAGCCTGAAATTGTATTTTCTTGTTTTCAGCCACCTTACACTGTTGGTTCATACTCAGTTTGCAATCCATTATAGGTAGTCCTTGCTTAGCGACCCCAATTGGAACCAACAAATCCATCGCTTAGTGCTATGGTTACTTAGTGAAAAATCATATGACCATGACAGACTTATAATGTCACTTCCCATGTGGTTGTTATGTGAGTCACTGCAGTTGTTAAGCAAGACATCACACAATTGCAACTTGAAATTTTACTTTTTCATTCTTCATTAAGTCTGCTTATCAGAATTCATTTGTGAAGCACAAAAATCACTTGACCACAGGATGCTACGACACCTGAGGACAGGTGGCAAAGATGTTATTTTTACACCACTGTAAGTTCAAACAGTCATTAAACAAGACAGCCAGTAAGTGAGGATTACCTGTACTACACCAAGTTATTTTTCACATGTACCAGGCCAGATATCTCACATTCTACATGCATGCATGTGATTTTTGTATCCTAATAGAGCTTTGCATTTTAATCAATAAAATAACCACAATACTGGTTAAATATAAAGGAAAATAAATGTACATTGTATGCATAGAGCAAAACCTAATAAATAGACAACCACCACACTAAATAAGCTCACATGCTGTGGGGGCCTAATGTCTGGGTGGGAAACCAGATACCTGGCTCTCCCAGGTACCAATGTTAGACTGACTAGCATACAGTCAGCTAACTCTTCCTTTTTCCCCTTTCTGAAGATGGGAACATTGCTTACTATCCTCCAAGCACCTGGCAATTCACAAATCTTTCAGGATGCCTCAGTGATACCAGATAAGAGCTTGGCTAGATTAATTCCTTTCATATCCTAGGATGTCATTTATCTGGTCCTGGATATTGACATTCATTTCAAACATATAAATATCACCCTCTGCTGTTCTATCAGTCTCAAGCTCCTTCAGTTCTGATCTTCACAATGTCCTGACCAGTGCTTTTTTTCTAAAAAAAAAAAAAAAGGTGCTGGAACTCACACAAGTCATACAACCCGCCTTGCCTACCCTACAAGGTTCCATCCAAAAAAGGTGCCGGAACTCCATTCTGGGAATGGAGTTCCATTTTATGAGAAAAAAAGCCCTGGTCCTGACACATCACAAAGAGTTTTGTTGAAGAAGACACAACTAAAGCAGGAGTTGAGAGGCTATGTCTTTTCATTATTATGGTTCATCACAGTCAGCCAGATATTCTATTCTATTTGCCTTTCAGAAAGTTATTCATTTTGGGCAATCCAC